CTGTAGTCGATGCAAAGTCTCATGGATCCATCTTTCTTTCGAACAAATAACACCGGTGCTCCCCATGGGGAAACGCTAGGTCGGATGAATCCCTTTTCCAGTAGCTCTTGCAACTGAGCCTTCAACTCCTTCATCTCGGCAGGTGCTATACGATACGGTGTAGCAGATATGGGTTCCGTACCCGGAATGAGATTGATCGAGAACTCTACCTCTCTCGGCGGAGGCAAACCAGGTAGGTCTTCGGGAAAGACATCGGGGAAGTCGCAAACCGTACGAATGTCCTGCTGACGTGGGGATTCTTTTCGCATATCCTGAACGTGACACAGGAACATCTCGCACTTCTTGCGAATCAAGCGCCTCGCGCTCAAGGACGATATGAACTCGGGAGCCTTGGGGAACACCTCCCCGGAGAGTGATACGTCGCTACCGTCCTCAGCTCTCAGCCGTACGGTCCGACAACTACAGTCGACCACTGCTCTATGCTCGGTGAGTCAATCCATACCAAGGATAATGTCAAACTCCTTGTGTGGTAGCTCTATCAAATCTGCAGGGAATTGCTTCCCTTGCACGGACAACGGACATCTATGATAAACGTGATGAAGACGCATGCTATGTCCTAGCGGATTCGATACAATGGTAGGTATCTCAAGGTCACTCCTCACAATCGCAGAATTAGCAGGCATGCCAACACAGATATAGGAGAGCGTAGAACCCGGATCGATCAAGGCATGCATAACCGAATCAAATAGTATGAGTGTACCCAAGATAACATCGGGGCTAGGATCTGTGCGCCCATGCATGGCGTAGGTACACGCTGGTGCCCGGCCTGACTGCTGCGGACGTGCTCTCTGCTGATTATTTGCGGCCGTAGACTGCTTACTCCGTGCTGGATTTGATGCGGCAGGCTGATCCGGAGCTCTAGGTAAAACAGGCTCGCTGCTAGGGTTTGTCGGGCAATGCCTCCTGAAATGCCCTGGCTGACCACAACCCAAACATAAGCCTTGGGCGAGCCAACACTCTCCCGGGTGATGCCTACCACACTGTACACACTGCGGGTGGCTCCTCGTTCTGTTCGAGTTGCTAGCGGCGGCCGACGGAGACGGCCTCGACTTACTCTTCTTAGGCGGCGGCGCACTCGAAGAACCCTTCTCGTACCTCTTTCCCCCAAATCCAAAACTCTTCCCGCTCAGCCCAGTGCTGGCCGCGGGTCGCGGGTCTTTCGTCGCTCGGTCCTCCTTCTTGGTTGCCTGCAAATCGTCCTAGCTCTTTTCCGTCTTCACAATCAAATCATACGCCGCATTAAAATCTGTCGTTGTGATCAGCGCGGCGTGCGGCCTCAAGTTCGGCCATAGCTTCTTGACGAACTCATTCAAACGATCCTCCGGAGTGGAGACCAGACTCGTCGCGTACTGGGACAAGTAGTCGAACCTCTGTCTCAGTTCAGGCACTGACATCCCCTCCTGCTTAAGCGCAACGAACTCATCGCGCCTCTCCTCGCGGTACCGGGTGGGTACGTACTCCTTCGTGAAGGCTCGATCAAAGCGATCCCAGGTCCACGGCTTGGGCGTGTGTGGATCCTGGTCAATGCGCTTCCACCAATCATATGCTCCCTTCCGGAACATCTGTGACGCCAACTCCGAGCGATCAGCATCTGGGACTCTCAAATTCTTGAGTACCCGGTCCAT